GAAGTCTGGAAAATCATGCATCGGATAAGTATTGAAGATTACTGAGTTTATTGTTAACAACAAAAACCTGCTAGGTAAAATACATAACACTCTGTCTCTGAACTGATGAAGGTCGTAGTCTGCTACGCTTTATACTACAACGGAAGAAAAGCAGATGGCGAAATAAAAAACATGGCCTGACTCAAAGAAGTGTACATTTCCCAGTTCTGCTCATAATATACTCAAATGAATATATACAAACAAAAGGCATAAGACACCACCAATGTGCTGACGACCTGCACTATAGGAGTACGTTCAAAGGACTAGACTTATAAGACAGGTCTTACAAGCATCATTGTCATAACAGAAGACAAAAAGTCACCAACAGAACAACTGCACTGACAATGTGTTTTTTTTAACAGGAGAGTAGGCCTGCCCAGACACTATCTAATGCGATGCGGGAGCTGGCTTCCATCAGCTACCACCACCGTAGAAAAAATGCTAGGAAGAAAAAATTCCGGGCAAACTGTAAGCCCGGAAAAGAGTATCTATCATCACGAAGTACCGACCGTGAAAGCTTACATTCCAAAAAATATTTTAGTGCTCTCATTCTGCAACCAAAACAATCAAACAAAATGTAATTTGATTAATACTACTACTACTAAGAAATGGTCTTAAGGAAAATAATACTGAAATAACTCAAACTTCTTGTTGCGATGGCTGTATTATATGTTTACTACATTCATTTGATTACATACACAGTGATAAAATTTACATCTAGACTTTTCAACTGAAATATTGCTGTAACAAAATGGCGACAAAAATCACGATTATGGTACAGATCTTTAATTTAATTTCATCTGATTCCTAACTTCAGTAATTAATTATGCAAATCCCGTTTATGTTAAAAAATCATGGCAATATGCACGCATATTAAATTTAGACGATTGAATCTGTGAGACGGATGGAATTTGCTATCAGACAGATAAATAGGAACTCAAGATACACTAACACAAAATCCGAATGAGTTAAATCATGTGATATAAAAGTCTGTATGACACGCGGACGTACTTTTACTAACAAGGCTGAAGTTTTGCGGAAAATCAAAATGCAAAATTAGCTTAGGACCCTTATATACGAGCGCTGTCGTTGCGTTAGCGTCGGCCCAACTGGACAATGGCACTATCATGGAGTAAATTATATTAACGACAATGTCGTTCATATAATTTACTTCATAATACATGGCGATCGTATCACAGGGTTCTTTGGTTCATGGAGGCTTGAACCGTGGCATACAAGCAGAAATAGTCAACCATTCTTTGTGAACGGTTGATTACAGAAACATATGGACAAATATACTGGATTGTGAGTACGTTGAATAGATTGAAGGTCTACAATAAGGCAATTTGCTGCACTACGAGACTGCATTGAGATCTGCATTGACCAGAGTACTAGAATACATTAGAAAGAATGATATATAAATGGAAAAATTTGGAAATATTAAGTCCAGTAAGAAAAGAATTTATTAGATCTCCACAGAAAAGCAGAAAACATGGTCAAAAGAATTTTGCATAAAGACAGGAGTCAGACAGGGTTGTATACTCTCGTGTCTCTACTATTTGACAATACAGAAATCAACAATCTCTCCATATGTAGACTACACTTTGCTATTAGATGATAGTACCGAAGGCCTATCTGACGTGACAAATGTAAAAATATGTACATCCGCATAGTAAACAAGAACAAGGACACAAGAAGATCGTAGCATTGAAATGTATGTTAAATGAGGAATCAGATCACTACAATGAAGTCCATATTCGAATATAGAGAAGTGCATTAAATCTCATCATATTTTGTAATATGATAAGATTTAATGCACTTCATATTTGTTATATGAGTCTGAATGTGCAGTTAGTTACGAGTGATTCTTCGCCGTTCTTTTACATGACATTGAGTCATTTTGACTGATGATTCCTTTAAATCTTTCAATGCGTATATCTCGCATTAGTGACTGATTCTTAGCATAGAGCGCATGGCACGCATTGGTGACACAAACTCTTTCAGACTAAATGTACCAGTTGTTTGTACCGTGTCTGACGAAAGTCTAAAAAGCAGTGTAGCAGCAAATTAACCATCTAAAAACGTTCGAAATATGATGCTCTGATTACACGCTTAAGGCACCTTGAACATATCACATCATTAATAAAACAATCCTGGAATGAATTGGAAAAGAATAAAAATCTGTAAAATTTGGAAAAGTATCGAATTTTGGACACCTGACGACAGAAACGATGCAATGTGATCGCAAATATATAAATAGGATAAGCATTAGAACAAGTTTAACCAACAAAAAGTGTAACACAAGAAGAAACTTCAAATTTGCCATATCAAGTTAGATTGAGAGGTTCGACTATGCCAAATCTTCGAAAGTTTATTGAATATAAGCGCATCAAAACATTCAATCCAAATTATATAAATTACTAAGGTATGTCGATTGTCTAGATGTAAATTTTTGTTGGGACATCCAATACAATGAAGAAAAATACATATTATTTTCAAAAACATGAAAACAACTATTTAGCTGTGATATGAAAAAATATCGTTACAACATTCTAACATCGTTATATAGTTCACTTAGTTTATTTACAACATTGCATAGAAGTCTTTTACTATATAAAAACTGTACAATATTCCACCTGTACATATTTACATTCCATTTCAAGGAATCACACTCTTAAGACTATTTAAAAAAATATTGAAGCTACAGGAAAGTTATGTCACTGAGTTAACGTTTTCATAGAAGGTCATAAGGAAAATTAATTTTCCTATATTACCCGTTTCACCTGTATTTTCTGTGACAAGTAACTTTAAGGTTTCGAGATCTGATATAAAAATTTTTATCCCTAAACCGAAATTAAAGAATTTGACTCATATAGAGAACAGTTATGACTATCAATGATAATTAAGACTTAAATCTTTGTTTAAAAAAGATATAATTAAACTGTATCCCATAATCTTGTTAATTACATGGCAAGTCTTACATTGCAATATTTTCAAAATTGTCACAAACCTAAGTTTTGGGAAATCTAGGAGTTTTCAACACCTTAATTTGTACTATATTTTTGTACTAACAAAACGGACAAAAATTCAAAGTAACGATAATAAATTATGATTTCCCGTCGATCACCGGGAAAACAAAAAGCTACAAGGATGTAACTGAAATTGGGGTTATAGTAAATCATTAACTTAAAATTACCGATGTATACAACTGATAATAAAATAATATTTACCACATTACTTAAAATCAATAGTAACCACTTAGCTAAGATCTGTTTAAAAACTATAAGTAAATTGGACATTCTTGTCTTCCGGCTTAGGTGTGATAGATTGAAACATGAGCAGTTTTACACAAGAGAACAATACTTGAAATTTATGTAAAAAACTTATGATCGAGGATATATTAACCTACAAATGAGGTTCTAGATATTTGCGTCTAGTAAAATGCGTTACGTCTTTCACGGCCACCGTCTAACTTGTTGAACGAATTATTTATAAATCGATAACCGACCTGATCAAAAGGAAGTCTAAACCTACCTGGAAAGAGCCTACTAATATTAATGCATTTAAAAACAACATTAACAGCAAAGATACAGACCTAAATGTCAACACCTTGAATGACATTATAATAGAAGCTAGAGGAAAGCCAGAAGATACACTGCCAAAAAAATCATATAAGCATAAATGTATGAGAGGAGAAAACTGCAAAGTAATAGAAGTAAACAGCACCATGAACTAAGAGAGATAAGTAAAAGCCTTATAGCCTCAAAAAAATAAGAGCATAAAAGTATAAGAAGAAAATTAACAAATGGAAAAAATAAATAATGAAATAAAGGATAAAGATGAAAATATTACCAAGAGAGATAAATTACTAAGATTAGTCGAAGATTTCTATACAGAACTATACGAAGTCAACAAAACCATCATGAACAACTAAAAGAAAAGTTAGAAAATTCAGAAAAAAGATTAGTCTACCAAGGACCGACGAAATAAAGCTTCGGGAGAAGATTAATATCGCTATAGAAGCTATATATAGCGAATATATAATTCTGTTCAACTTATGTCCGCACCAAAGTAAAACACGTGCAAGATGGCATAGTGCACTTACTATTTTATTACACAAAAAGGACGATCCAACAGACCTCAAGAATTACCTGGCACATAAGCCTGTTAAACCACATCTACAGGTTATCCACCAGAATAATAATAAATAGACTGAAACAAATTTAGATTTTTTTCAACCTAGGGAACAAGGTTCAGGAAAAACTTAAAAACTAACGACCACCTCCTTACGTAAAGTAATTGTAAAATAAATAAAAAAAAGATTTTACAACTAGTCTTCTTAGTTTTTAAACAGATCCTACAATGCAACACAATAATCCGATTAAAAATGGTTCTATTAACTTTGAACATCTGACGTTTCAAAACACTATTGCTGTAGTGTTTTTATGAGTAATTAAGCTAACGTTTTTTTGAAACTTGTAAGTTTAAAGAAATCTTAAAAATAGTCACGATCGTCTTATGATTACCCTGAAATCTTCAAATGTATTCTATTCTTAAATTAGGTATTGAAATACTCGTAGTTTATATGAAAATTTTTGAAAACAATTAGTTATATCTAAGAAGCGATCCTGTAAAATGTACTAAAATAGGTCTCAATTAAACTATATACAAATTTTTAGTATATATCTCAATTTACAACTAAAACAAACAATAAATATATCGTGAAATATTATTTTTTATCAAAAATCTAAAACATATTTACAAATTGTTATCCGTCTAACAATATTGCCAAAAAATGGGCGCTCCAAACCTACAGTTTCCCCCAATTTAACGGTCAAGCTTCCACTTTACCCACATCGTTTATATAAGCATACTATATTTATAAATAATACAATTCAATTATGTGAAACATTCTTCTTCAAGAAAACTAATTAATTAAAAGACAACCAGTGTTCATATTTTTAATAAATAAAAACTGTTAAACTTAGGGGAACGACCCAATTTTGCAATAACAATTGGGCTTCTAGGATTCAAATTTTACAATTTTCAAAACCACAATTAAATCAATCAGAAAATATTATAAACAATAATTAATATTATTATAATTTCCCACAACTAAATAATTAAAAATAAATTAAAACTGCTTTTTGTTGTAACTAAACAGTTTTGGATACCCTGTTTATTTTGTATTTCTATTATCTCTACCTATAAGAGACTTTAAGAATCTCATTTAAACCGAATAAGAATAACCTGCCATTACTGAAAGTTTGAATATTTGCAATGAACTTGATCCAGTTGTTGATGTTCTTACTTTTGATGCGCAACTATTGTTGAACCATAAAACTAAATAAATTTTTGTACCTGAATAGACACACATTATTTTTATGTCTTAGATGACGTTGTCATTTAAAATCGCACACAGGCGCCATTTTGTGAAATTATAAATAGGACCATATTCCAAATAATAACAGGTCTAAAGAGAGGAAGGTAAGGTAGCAAAGAGTGAGGCCAAGCGCGCTGTCTGTCAAGGAAAGATCGTGTGTACAGCTGTATGAAGAGTTGGAAACACCCGAGAGAATGACAATGTTATATAGCAGTGCTAAAGCAAGGGATAGGTCATCAAAAGACTTAACTCACGAGAGACAGAGGATTCCGGACCCCAAACGAAAATCAGTAGGAACTGATGAAATTGTGGATGTTTGTAAGGTCTCTAGGAGAGGAAGGGGTTGATGTTTTGTGGCTAATAATGGGTAAGATATATGAGAAAGAAAAGATGCCCAATTCATGGAGATATGAAGATAAAGGGGAGATTCAGAACTGTAAGAAGAGGGATAAAGTTAATGTCGCAAACATTTAAAATTTGGAAGAGAACTTTAGAGCGAAGGATAAGGAGAGCCATTGATAAAACAGTTTGGGTTTGTGACAGGAAGGAAGACAGCGGACACCTTGTTTGCTTTGAGACAATTTTGATATTTTGAGGAATACGACGAAAAGAAAAGATAAATTAAAAAAGATTACAAGAAACGAAAAGCTACATTTGATATTTATAGATCTTGAGAAGGCATATGACATAGTTCCTACGCAAGAAAGCGTAATCGAAGTAAGGATTTGTGTCGGATTGACCAAAAGTCCTCCAGTAGCGGTTGGTTTTAATCAAAGCTCTTAGTAGTCTTTAGGTTGGAAAACAGATTTATTTATTTATTTTTCCAATATCTCACATTCTAATATAATTCATTTGTTTTTCATTGACATTCGCCAATATTATAACGTCATAGACATTTTTTTTCTTAAATAATCAGGTGTATGATTAATTTGAAAGCTCTTGCGCTAGTGCACATATTTCTAGATTTTTATGTGATTATATTGCACCGTTTTAAAATGGCGGTTTTTATGAAAATTATCTTTACAAAATGTGGCAAACTGGAAAAATAAACTGATTTATTCGAGCATTTTCAATAAAATTTAAAAACTACCAAATTATTAGAGCTATAACAGAAACAAGAGTTTTCCAAAAAGTATTACTTGCGATATGATCACATTTGAAATAATTTTATAAAATGGCATCCGTCCGCTATTTTAAATAGTTATGACACCAAAACAAAAACAATGTAAGTGCCTTAGTTCAGTTATACAAAACATTATTAATTTGTTTTTTTTCAGAAAACAATTAGTAGTGGGGGGTGGGGGAGACTTTGGACGTGCTTTATATTTTTAGAGTAATTGGCGAAAGGAGATATATTTATATTCAGTTTAAATCAAGATTTGTTTAGACTCTCTTCAGCATTTTATACTGGTCTATTTTTGTTGTCACATCTCAAGTTTGGTACACTGACTTAATCGTAACGTATTTGGTCTGCCATTTATTCATAACGGCGACTTCAACTGAAGGATTGGAAATAGTGTCATTAACAGTTCAATGAAGACCACGCGAATGAAAACAACACAATATAAAAATATGATGTGATGTGAGGCAATACAGATTGACTTTGTATCGCCGGAATCTATGCCGTAACCAAATACTTATAATAAATACTAAAGACGAAAACTGCCGTTACAAAGAGTCTCGTTTTATGCAAACGCAATTAACAGCGTGGATAAAATAGTGAAAGGAAACAACTAAAGAACCTAATTTACCGTAGAATTCCTAAATATGTGATCCCCAAAATTATTTATCAAAGATGACTGAATAAAAAATATTCTTTCTTAGAAATGATTAAGTTAAAAAAATATAAAAGATAGCAATTAGCGCCATTAAAACCATAAAACTAGGAATGATACGAGATGTGGCAATCAAATATGGGTACTGATGCTTCAAAATGTTTTATTGATCACCTACCATGGTAAAAAGTTTTTCCCTTCCAATGCATTGTCAAATCTAGTCCTCTAAGTTCCGATTTTACCTTAGGATTTAAAAAAATACAGGGGACAGCTCTGGCGAATACGGTGGATGCCGAACACCGCGATGCCGTATTTCGCAAATAACATATTCACAAACAAGATTCCACAAATCTGGCCTTCGTCTTCTGACTCATCCGCGAAGACTAGTCAGAACCTTAACGCAATAATGCTGATTGACTGTCCGCCGTCACTTACCTACTTTAACATGATATGAGCTTATGTTGCGGTCTATAATATTTCACAAGACAGTTGAGATTAACTCATTGCTCCACCGATCACCTTTTTTCGTCGAGACCAGAGCAAGGTCTTACAACAGGCGATTGCTACAGCAAGAGTGTGAGACGTACAACCGGGCCTATCGAGCTCAAGGTCGAAGAATCATCAACAGACACAGACATGTTCAGATCCGTCGCAGCGCTGGTTAGCTCGCTGTTAATAGATAACAATTACAGCAAAGTTATTTGATTGTCACATCTCAACAGGCAAAACAAAGTGTAACAAACCATAGTACACAAGATACAGTGTGCATAAGATACTTTTGTATCAAAATACCCGAAAGTGTATTCAAACCTCGAAATTGCAACGCGATTTTATTCTCCTTTGTGGAGATGGATGTAGTTACAACATTGGGATATAAATGAGAATAGAATGCTGAGGTAGGTCTATCTCAAAAATTGTACATATCTACATGATGATATTTGAAAACGGATTCACCATTGAAAAAGGGTTGAAATTTTTGGAGACATTAAATGTGGACAAAAAGTATTCAAAGCTTCTACAGCTCGAACAAAAAGTGCCATCGAGAAGTTCTTAGACGTTCTGGACTCACTTTTTGATCGACCTGTAGCTTAATATTAAAATGGTGGATCACACTTATTCATTTCTAATAAAATATCACCAAGAACATCGGTCGACTGACGGTTTTTAATCTTAATCTTAAATGGTTTGTGTTTTTTTACAGGTGACTCAACGAGCTTCACAGGGGAATTACTTGTCGAATCAGCAGCGCTCTTTGTCGGGGGTTCTAGAATTTTTATCGGAGACTCAGTGAAAATTTTGGATGCAGACTCCACAACAATTTTTGTGGGTGACTGCATTACGAGCTTCGTAGATTCCATCATAACTCTTTTTGGTGGTGTTGCCTGTAAATCAGAATTTGATAAAATATTATTTGACTCATTTGGACTTATTTTGTAATTAAGGTTACTGCTTATACTAGGCTTGGTACTGTTACCACTGTTTTCTGTAGTTACATGGTTATGGTTATTGTGGATTGGATCTTGTAATCGTTCTTGTTTGGAGACATGCGAGTGCTTTCTCTCTTTATCACCGTGTTTATGCTCCTTGTCCCTGTGGGAACTGTGATTATGCTTTCTCTCTTTATCATGTTTATGTCTTTCTTTATCTCTATGTTTTTCTTTGTGTTTATCCCTGTGTTTATCCTTATGTTTTGATTTTTCTCTATCATGATCTTTGTGTTTATGTTTCTTCTCTTTGTCTCTCTCCTTATCTTTTTCGTCATGATTCCGGATTTTTTCAGCAGGAACGTATTTGTTAAGATCTAACTTCAGCTTCATTTTTATAGGTGGCTTGTCTTCATCTGGGTGATTAGACGATTTAAGTGGCGATTTTTCTGGTTTTGTTGGCGAAACATTTTTATTGGGTAGTTGACTAATATACCTGACAGTACCTTTAACATCTTCCAGGTTGTAGTATTGCTTCAATCGGACATGCCAAGCTAAAACAAAATAACATATGTTAAATTATAGTACAATATAAGGATATTCGTAGGACATGGTAGGTTAAAAGTATGGAAGTATATAATAAGTAATATATAATGAGAATTACCAGAATAGGAAAATCAATATATTAGAAGTACCTTTTAGGTAAGTAAGAGTGAGAACGATATATGTTGACGTATATAATATAAATATAAATAAATATTACAAGCTCATTCTTGTTGTAATTGATTGTTTTTCAAAGTTTGTGTTTATGTACATGAATCAAAATACTATATAAAGATGAGAAACAGTGAGTTAGAACTTTAAAAAAAACTGGTATTATTAAACATAAAAACATAACTAATAAATATTTAAAAATAAAAATTTCATACCCACTAACAGATGCGTTTATTGAAACCAGGAATTATACAGACTTACACAAAAATAATGTAATACCAATTTATAAATTTCCGTACAAAAATTTGATAAAAAAACCAAGAATCGTACATTTTAAATATACAGAAATCAAATCAATTAAACAATATTTTAGTAAAATCCATACTGAGAGACTTTGTGGATTACACAGTAAATTACACAGACGGTTCTTAAATCAAACAGGAAAAGGAAGTGCTATGTATGTAAATATCCACCCATAAAATAATTACAAATTATCTGGTGTTAGTAGCATCTTTTCAGTGGAACTCTTATAGAATGGATTCAACAAAAAAATAATAAAAAAGCTATGACAATAACAGAATCCAGAACTGCAATATTGTAATTGAAAACACAGATTTCAGTTCATACAAATCTACAATATTATAAAAAATAATTTGTCTAAAATAGAAGTGGCATTTAAAAGGTCAGAAGGACATGACGGTATAATATATATATATATATATATATATATATATATATATATACATGTTTGACAAAAAACAATCGTCTTCACAGGTTTGAATTCAGTCACATCTCACGAACAGAAAGAGGCAGTAGAGGAACTATTGTTCTTTAAATAGTTCGATGTAACTACAAAAAACAAACTTTCAAACTGATGTCTAACAATATACCGTTTGTGATTTTAAGTACTACCAACCATATTGCCAACTTTAAATTGAGAGGAAATTTAAAAAAGTTCATTATGTCAAACAATAAAAAGAAAATAGTATTTAGTAAGTAGGTTTAGAAAAACAAGCAACCAAAAACAAAATGAACCATCTGAATAATAACTGAAGTTAATCATGATAATTATAGCAATTAATAAAGGAATTTAAGAAACAGACAGGAAACACTCTGAGATGCAGAAGACCTTAGTCAAAAGTCAAAATAAAATTGTAAATTTTGCTAAGATTCTGGATCTCAGATCTTTTATTCAGATTGTTGTTATCACTCTTGCTGATATGTACCATTTCTAAGAATGTTCTCTTAAATTTATTTTTCTCTCTGGCTAATATTTTTACATTGTTGAAATCTATCTTATGGTCTAGATCGATAGTATGTTCTGCCAAAGCATAAGTGGGTTTATTTAGTCTACAGTCACTCTTATGAGAAATGATACGACTAGAGAGATTTCTTCCAGTTTCACCAATGTACGTGGATGGACATTCAGTACAATGAATGCAATAAACAACATCTCTTGACTCTAAAGTAGTTAGGGGTTGTTTTATTTTGCTATACAGCTGACGTATGGTTTTGATGTTCTTGTTAGCTATTTTGATGTTCTTAAATTCTTTGAAAATTTTTAGTAAGTTCTACGGTTAGTTTTGGAATATACGGAAGGGCATAAAAATACACACTTGTTTGAGAAGAATTGTTTTGTGCTGAGGGCACTGATTGTGAATTAGTGAGAATGTTATTTCTGTTAACAAATGGAACATTAAAAATTAATTTATTAATCAGTCTTAGAGGATATGAATTTTCAACAAAAATATTCCGTAAAAGGTTAAGATCATGTTGGAGATAATCTGGATGTGATAACCTTTTGACACGTTCTTTCATTGCTAGGACTAGGTTGGTTTTCATTCTAGGAGGATGGTGGGAATGGTAGCTTATGAATCTATTGCTACATATAGGTTTTCTATACCATTGTGTTTTCACAACATTATCCTCACATCTATGCAAACTCATGTCAAGGAAGGGCAAAGATCCCTCCCGCTCTTCCTCGCATGTGAATTGCAAGTGTGGGTTTTGTTGGTTGAAAACATTTAACGTAAATTGTATAGAGTCTGCTGGTAGTGCCAAGATTAAGTCATCCACGTATCTCTTTATAAAAGATATTTCAAAATTGATTTGTTGCAAACAGTCTTGATTAAAGACTGTTTATCCACGATTTGAAGGGAAATAAAATGTACTAAAACACGTTTAAGTCTTTTGGTTACTTTTGTAAACTATATAGGAAAGTTATTTGTTAGTAATATATTAAAATTCATAAACAAAGTCGTTCATAGTCAGAGCTCATTGGAAGCTATGTGAACATTCTGCAAAATTCACTAAAACAATAAACTAACTCTAATATCTCAGTGATGCCAGTTAATTACTTCTAATACAGCTTGGATCGAATCATAAACCCAACAAAAAGTGAAATATATGTATTGAACCATTTACAAAACAAATTTACTACAGAAGTTATAAGGTAGTGGTTTAAATGAACACTAACGACCATGTGCACCAAAATCGACCACAATGAAATTTTCTTTATGTATGTTTTATAGATTTCGAAAAAGCCTTTGATAGAGTACCACATACACTACTATGTTTGGACTTAATTGGTCCAGACACGTATGACATTAGATTGCTCAAAAGATCTTTATTACATTCAGGCCGCTTGTATTAAGGTGAATCAAGAGGTTTCAGCTAAAGTTTCTATTAAGCTTAGTGTCAGACAGGGATGGATTATGTCACCGACGATGTTTAATGTCTATACTGAACCAGTTTTTGAGATAGTGTTATAATTAAATAATCGTCGCGAAGCTATTTTTTAAAATCGGTAGTGAAATTATTAATAACATCAGATACGCAGATGACACTGCCATAATGGCAGAGAGCCTAGAAGACCTTCAAACCCTGTTAAACGCTGTAAACGACGAATGCACTGAAAATGGCTTAACAATTAACGCAAAGAAAACAAAATGGATGGTGGTCGTAAAAATTAATATCGAAGACTCAATACTAAAATAAGATAACAAAATCCTGGAAAGGGTGGAACACTTTAGATATCTGGATACTTGGATTGACTGCAGGGTTGAAAGTGACGAGGAAATTTCAAACAGAATAGAAATTGCATGAAAAAGCTTTATTAATTGGCGTTCTGTATTGTGAAGTAGAAGTCTGTTATTGACCATACGTCTAAGAGTATTGAAGTACTATGTCTGGTCCGCTTTGTTGTACGAATGGATGTGAAACCTAGACATGAAAAATCTTAATAAATTAGAATAGTTGGAGTTGTGGTATTACCTTCACATGCTTAGAATCCTATGGACAGCACAGATACCTAACAAACCTGTTCTAGAGACCATGCACAAATAGAGAGAATTGATCAACATCATCAAAATAAGAAAGGTCCAATAGTTCGGCCATATATATCGCTTAGTCCGGTTGATCATTCGGATAAAAGAAATTTTCTCACAGACCATATGCACCATACTTGGGCACAAGTAATGTAGCTGTATCATCGACTGTGACTGTATCAGATGTACAGCTATATTTAAATAGCATTGATATGATTAATCCGGTCCTGGAACATAACTTATTTTCCTCAGGTCTCAACTTACTCGATTTAAACTTGAGTTTTGAGGTTACAAAAATTTTTTGACACTACGCGTGTAGTTAGGTTTTTCGTTTAAAAGTGTTTTAAGTTGTAATATTCTGAGATAGAGAAATTTATCTCGAAGGCGGATGAACAAAGGAATGGCCAACGGCATAAAGATGCAGAATACAACCACTGCATTAAACACTCGTAGAGTACCCCTAGAAATCGTCATGGCAGTTAGTGACACGCATCAACGTACTAATCATGGTTCTCGGATGCCAAGATTCGACAGGAGGAGAAATAACAACGATGACAGAGCTCAGGTCGTTAACCAACGAAATCCCTGCGTACTAAAAATACAAAATTCAACTTTCAAAATAGCGACATGGAACATTAGAATCATGTATGAGCCTGGTAAACTAAGGAATATAGAACAAGAAATGATTTGACTTAGGATCGACATATTGGGAATAAGTGACACAAGATGGCTCGACTCCGGCGAAATACGTACAACCAATGGTCGACTTTTCTATTCTAGTAGTACCGACAGCCAATATCGGTATGGAGTAGCAATTAATGTCAGTAAAAAAGTTGCAAAATCAGTTGTAGGCTTTATACCAATATCGGAAAGAATTATGCTAATACAAATGATGATAACACATGGGAAATTAAACCTTATTTAGATTTATGCGCCAACCGCCGATAAAACAGAGGAAGAAATTGAAAAATTTTACGATGACTTTCAAAAAACCCTACAAAATACAACATCTAGAGATATAACAGTAGTCATGGGTCATTTTAACGCCAAAATTTTGAGAAGGAAGATGTGAGGACCATATGTTCGAAATGAGAGAGGAAAACGCCTTATATAATTCTGCTTAGAACATAATCTTGCGGTAATGAATACTTTCTTTAACTGCATAAACGACGCTTTTACACTTGGAAATCGTCAGCTGACAAGGTCGATAAAATCGTTAGAAACCAAATTGACTATATTTTAAAAAACCACAGATACCGAAACGCTATAAAATCGGTGAAAGCGTACTCAGGTGCAGACGTGGCGTCGGATCACAATCCTCTTGTAGCAAAATTCCAAATTCACTTAAAAAAGATACAAAAAAGTTACAAAAGTGATAAACTAAACATACAAAAATTAAAATCAGAAGACGTCAAAGAAAAACAAACAAGTTTGTTCGCAGAGAACTCACAACAACCAGATGCAAGAAAGGAGATTGCATGACAGAAGAAATCTTGGAAATGATGGAGGACAGAAGAAGGCAAAAGAATATCAACATCAGTATCAACAGCTGCATAATCAAATAAGAAGGAAAATAAGAAAACATAAAGAGACTTATTTCGCTGGAAAATGACAAGAAATACAAGACTTCTCCATATGTTAAAGAATTAGCTGGGGTAGCAAAACAATAAACCTCAAGCATACTATTGGACAAACAAGGAAACATTTTTGTGGTGACGGAACAAAAATTAGGAAGATGGAAATAATATGTAGACGAATTATTCTATGACCAGAGACAGGAAAATATATATGAAGATAATCAGAGTAAAGACCCAAAATAACAAAGTTAGAAGTTATGCATGCAGTAAAGTTCATGAAAACAAATAAAGCTGCTGGTCCAGATGAAATACCAAGTGAATTGCTAAAACTGGCCAATGAAAAAACATAGATCTTTTAGTCCAACTACTGAACACAATCTATTCCACAGGAATCAGTCACGTGAAATGCTGACATCAACATTTATTTGTCTACCAAAGAAAGTAAATGCCAAAGAATGTAGTGATTATCGAACGATCAGTCTAATGTCACATAGCTTAAACACCCTGCTAAAAATCATCCATAATACAATACACGCTAAGCTGGACGATGGATATTAGTGATTTCCAATTTGGATTTCGGAATGGCGTGGGCACAAGAGAGGCACTATTTTCTTTAAACGTGCTGACCCGAAGATGTTTGGATGTTAATCGAGATCTTTATGTATGCTGTATAGACTACAACAAGGCTTTCGATAAGATAAAACATGACCGACTTATAGAAGTACTCAAAAATAAGAATCTGGATGTGAGGTATGTAACATTGATATCAAATTTTTACTACAGCCAACGATCAAAATGTGAAAATTGGAAGAGAAGTGCCAGAAGAAGTGTGATAAGGAGAGGGGTCAGGCAAGCTTGCATATTGTCGCCGTTATTGTTTAATGCTTATTCTGAAGAAATCATACAAGCTTTGGTAAAATTAGCAAGAACAATACAAACGAAATATTAACGGCAGGTGGCCAGCAGATTGAGGGAGTAAAAAGATATACTTACTTGGAAACGATAATCATAGAAAATAACGATTATATATATATATATATATATAAGCGAGGTTCCTACAGCCTCTGCCGTTTCTCGCATTTCGACCGCCATCGTTTTCTGTCCATCCATTCGTCTTCTCTGATGGCTCTATCTCTCATTATGTGCCGTACGTTTTCTTCCCAGGCAACTGAAGGCCTTCCCCTTCTTCTTCTTTGTTGTGGTATGTAATTTAAAGCTTTCTTTGGCCATCTATCTTCATTCATTCAAAAATAACGATTATACTGCAGAAATAAGAGTCAGAAACGCACGTGCTAATTGCGTGAAAATGAAAAAGATTGTATGCAGCAAAGATGTGAGATTGGCCCTCAGAATAAGGCTAATTAAATGTTATGTACACAGTGTACTCTACTATGGAGCTGAATCATGGACATTAAACCGGAATACAATAAATCGACTTAACGCGTTTGAAATGTGAACATTTAGAAAATTGTTAAGGATTCCATGGGTAGATAGAGCCACGAATACATAAGTGTCAAGGAAAATAGGCAGAGAGAGGGAAATGGAAAATACAATAAAATAAAGAAAATTGCAATATCTCGGACAGGTGATGAGAGGCGAAATATACAACATCTTGAGACTCATAATTCAAGGAAAAATAGAGGGTAGGAGAAGTCTAGGAAGAAGACGCATTTCCTGGTTGTAGAACCTGAGAGAGTGGTTTGGTTGCAGCTCAAGGCAATTGTTCAGAGCAGCTGCCTCAAAAGTCAGAATAGCCATTATGATTGCCAACCCTCGTCGCGGAGATTGCAATTAAAGAAGAATGCCGAAAAAATTTAACACAAGAAGAGTTAGAACGGAAAAGCATAAATTTCACGTCATTCAATGTGGTGACTATGCTAGTAACTATCCGTAGAAATAAGAGATTTCAAGGCCTCCATCAATTAAGATTTTTTTGTATCAATGTAGTGATTTATTCAAATAAAAATATTAAGTATTTTCAGTTCATAAGTTTCAATAAAATACATGTTACCGAAGTAGTACATGTTAATGAACTGTTAAAAAAAAAGGAATGTAACACAAGTTTCTACAAGTGAAACGAATATTTTAAAATTCAACGAGGAAACTAAGTTCCTGTAGCTGGCTGTATACCATATATCACAAAAAATTTTGTTTAAAATCATTTATAAAAGGTATATAAAAATGCCCCAAACGGGCTATCACAAACACATTGCAAAACGTTTTCGGATTAAACAATGCATCATCAGTGCAAACGGTTGTACATGCTAGTAGCCACCAAAATATATGGGTAAAAACCCTTTAAATGTTTTAAATTTGTAGTTGTTTTACATTATTAGTAGTAATAATTTGTGATGTTTAAGTTACCATTGGATAGGTAACATGGCGGCGTATGACTCTACATGAATAAAATGGTCCTGAGACGAAGTGTCTACGAGGACCTGTTGATAACAACTTTACCGTTTAACAATATTTTAAGGTTTCATTACAAATAAATATTTATAATCATTCCATACTTCGTTCAAAGTCTGACAAAAACTTCACTTACCTATACTGGTTACAGCTGTTACAGTACGGAATTGATGAATAATGTTTCTCGGCAAAAAATAAATATCGTTATCATATAAGTTGACTCTAGCATATTCTATACCATCCCTTCGTAACTGATTTAGCTTTGCATCTTCTATCCAAGTAACACACTAAAATATATAAGCATTTAACTATCAATCGATCTAATATTAGGCAATACAATATTTTCCAATTATACATATTTTTAGATAAATACGAGGCGTGTTTTTAAGCACGGTTTTGATATATTTATCTCGACATAAACGACATTTGTATTTCTAAAATGATACGAGCCGTTCACCGTGCTTCGGAGAGCACGTTAGGCCGTCGGTCCCCCTGGGCTAGTGTCGGCAACAATTTTGATAAATCTTTCTCTATCCTGTGCGGCTCAAAATAAGGATTAAGTATCGAAACCGGTCCACTCTCTGTTGTTCAAACATAAACATTTTCTCACATCTGGATCTCTGATTACTTTAATATTCCCCTCCATCAACAACCTCAAGAGGTCATAATGGTATCCGGTACTCCTTTCTTAGATAACTGGTTTTGGGCTTTTTGATACTGTTAAGAAGTTCTTTTTATGGATCATTTTACGCAATACTGCCTTGTTAATGCCATGGCTGTCCATGGTATTTTAAGAATCTTCTAAACACCCACATCTCGAAGGCCTCCAACCTTCTCATAGCACTTCAGTGTCCATGCCTGTCCCATAAAAAACAATAGAATGTAGGTATGTTTTCACGAATGGATACCTAGTATCCAGTGAAATAGTTGTATTACTCAAAATGTGTTTCATTTTAAGGAATGGAGATCTTGAGTATTTTAATTTGAGCTCGGATTACAATCTACGGGTCTATATCTTCGGTTTTCCAAGGTATTTAAATTTATTGACGTCTTTATAGGGGTGTTATAAATTTAAAATACAAAAATAAAACTACAAAACAATAATACGCCCAGTCCTAACATATGGTTCATACAGACCTGGACACTAACAAAAAATAATGAATACTTGTTTCGAAAGAAAAGTACTAAGGCAAATTTATGGAGCAGTGAATGACAATGGAGTGTGGAGAAGACGATACATCTTCGAACTTTATAGAATATACCTTAAGATAGGACGTCAGATGTGGAGAGGGCATGTAACGTGGAGGGAACAAAATGACCGAGCTAGCAAAACGCTCCTTGATAGACCTATTGGTCAGAGAAGAAGGGGAAGACTTAGAACAAAGTTCCTTGATAACATCGATGAAGACATGAGAAATATGGGAATACGTGACATGAAATATCGACGAAGAAAAGGATGTTCTAGGTACCTCCTTTGTCTGGAGAGGATGAGAGGTGCGATCCACCAAAATGAAAGATAATAAAGCAGCTGGTCTAGACGATATACGAACAGAACAAATAAAGCACTTTGGACCAAAAACCCTAAAGTGGCTCGTAAAAATGATACACTGTTGCGTCCGTACATTCCAATTCCCCAAAATCTGGAGGAAAGCTAGAGTGGTGGCCCTCTTAAAGAAAGGATCCAGCGGATACAAAGGGTTTTAGACCTGTCTCTCTTTTGTGTCACCTTTTCAAGGCGTTCGAAAGATTGTTACTGAACCGGATCGCTGAATCTGTGGACACTAAAATTATCCCTGAACAAACAAAACTTTTAATCTCACCCAATAGATGGGTTTGAACGGAAAGAAATAACAGGAGCAGCGTTCATAGACCTGACTGCCGCCTATGACACAGTTAACCATCAACGGCTGCTGGTAAAACTCTACGAAATTACAAAGGATTTCCGACTAACAAGGTTAACGAAATGTTTTCCGTCCAAGAACAGTCGGTGGAGGGATAAAAAAATGGACTCCCACAGGGAAGTATCCTCGGGCCATTGCTATACAACATTTACACCAACGACTAACCCAAGAACCAACAAACAAGACAGTCTATTTACGCGGATCATACAGCTGTGGCAGCTCAGGGACTTACAATGAAGTCGAAGTAAAACTGACAGATACCCTAGAAGACTTAGCACTATACTATGATGAAAATAATCTGAAACCCAATCCTACAAACACCCAAGTGTGCGCTTTCCACTTTATAAACAAGCATGCCTGAAGCCGCTGCAGGTGGAATGGCGTGGTCAGATGCTGGAACACAATGAGACGCCCAAATATCTCGGCGTACGTCTGGATATAAAACTCTGTCTTATCGATATCACTGACAAGATATCAAGAAAAAAGTAAGCGCCAGAAATAATATCATCCGCAAACTAACAAACACAAAATGAGGAGCGCAACCAGACACTCTCCGTACTTCTGCCTTAGCATTATGTTTTTCTGCCGCCGAGTTTGCAGCACCAGTGTGCGAAAACTCTGCTCGCGGTAAAAACGTCGATTTTGCGTTAAATGTAACGGTTCGTATAATATCTGGTTGTCTGAAACCAACACCTATCGAAGAGGTCTTCCCTATAGTTGGAATCGCTCCACCTGCTATCAGAAGACAGGTCATGTCAAAGATAGAACGAAAGAAGCAGGGGACGGATCGGAGACACCCCTTGTATAACCACCAAGTTCAGCCAAGTAGATTAAGATCTCGGAAAATATGAATCACCTATAGTAAGCGTCAGCTACAACACATTTTGCTCCTATGGGGGAAATGGCTGCTGGACACAATTTGCCGTATCCGACATGGAAAGCGCTAAACAGACTGAGAACTGGCGTTTCACGTTGTGCGTAACCTCAAGAAATGGGGATAGCAGGAGGACGATACCTACGGCTGTGGCGCGGTTCAGAATAGTCACCATCTACTATCATGCACAGAAATGAGAGAGACCAGCACAAAAATGACAGGGTCAACTATGTGGCCAACCATTGGACACACAAAATTTAAAGCTGTTGGTGTTCCGGACACGGAAAGTAAAAAAGTAAGTCGAAGCAACTTCTGAGTAAAAAATATTAAATTAGGCTACCATTGAAGAAAAATTAAACGCTTTTTAAAATTATATAGCCCCTTTACAATTGAAAATTGTTAGGATAACATTTTGCGGTTTCTTGGTGGTCCAACCTTCAGGACTAAAAATATTAACTGAAAATCTTCTTGAAAACAAATTTGATACCGATTTTTCCTATTATTTACGGGAATAAAGACATTAACGGTGGGACGTTTTTTAAACTGTATCATTAACGTTTCATAGACATTAAAATTGTTTATATGATTATACTTACTTGTGATATTGGTGGTTCATGGAGATCAAGTTGTAACTTTTCAGATAAAATGTCAAAATATTTAGCTGAGAAGGCAACTACATCTTTTGTAACCCTATTAATAGGCCCTTCTTGTTTTCCACCATGAATAGCTTTTAGAATTCCAACAGCAGCTGTGGTTTTTCTGTCTAATCCGGCACCAACATGATCGGCATGAGCTTTCGTCCTGTCTTCAAATAGATGTTCCCTGGCTTCTGACATTCTTGGCAAGTACTGAAGATTTCTCAACTCGTTAATGGCAGTTCTGTAAGAACGTTATTAGGTTATAGGCATTAAATTCAATTTTTAATTTATTCTGATTTATTTAAAGACTCAGACTCTACTATAAACTACCATGGCCGTCGTAATGATCAGGCCATAAGATAACATATCTGTTCTTGTTTCTATTATGCATTCTGCTGATGGTATGCTGAAAACTTTTTCAAGAAAAGACCTACTCTTAGAGAAAGTGCTGTTCTAAAAATATTTCCAGGACTTTTAAAATATTTGGCAAACCAAGAATATGGTGCTAAAATGAACCGTTAAAAAATGAGGGATGTAATTATAAATACGCAGCAACTTAACAAGACGAATGTCTTCAAATTGATGTGATGTGTATTTTTGTAGTTTCAGTGAAAATTTTAAGTGTAAGTAAACGAAGTGACATCATGATGAAAATTACATTTATTTTTATGTTGTGAAATTTGAGTGTGGTTAGTCAGAAAATCAGGTGTAGTATTAAAAGTAAAGAAAAAATGGAAATTAAAGTAGGTACTAACCATTTTAAATATCTTTGATCACAAATTGAAAATATTTTATCTTAATATTCTGAAGCCGAAAACAATAGTATTAGTTTAGAAACATTATTATCAACTTTATTTTAATAAACTTGAAGCTAATTTATTAATTACAGCTCCCAATTTAAATTACAAAACAGTTTATCCACCAAATATTCAAAGACAGAATTTCACCTTAGTTTGCAATATTTTTAATAAAATAACTCGTGCTGCCCTAATTAATTATAGTGAAGGTACTGCTGAATTTAATGTAATTATAAAATGGTGGTCGATTGTTAATGTAAAAAATTCGCTGCATTTGATGACATAAATGATGAATGTATCCAATTTTTAGAAAACTTATTAATTTGGCTAAAGAAATGGAAATCTTTTGGAGAATACAAGTCTTCTTTATCTTTTGATACCCATAATGATTTGCATCATTCTACTACAGTAATTATTATGTTAATTAAATATTGCCTAATAAAGATTTCGTGCAACAAATACTTACGTTTCAAACTGAGAATATACAATCTCGGTTTGGTAATCAAAGGCAGTTATCAGGTAGCAATTATTATGTTAGTTTAAGACAAACATATGAATAATTTATGAAAAAATAATTAGCAGAGGTTCTCAAAGTGGGTTACGCGGCACCCTGGGGTGCCTCAAGCATTTGCCAAGGGTGACGTGGAACATTTAATAAAAGTCGAACAACCAGCTGCTGCGCCACTGTCCAATCGAAACATGTTGACTATTTGTACTTGTGTATTCTCGATGGAGACCGAGAAACAAACAGCCGGCGCGGCTGCTACCTCAATTCATTCTACAGTTTAATTATTGCAGCCGATAAGTGAGTTTTGTAAAAATTAGAGTTAGATTTCAAAGTGGAAGTTTTAGATATAAATGCAAAAGAAAAATGACGACGTAAGTAATTCTATTCATTGGAATTAATATATATATATATATATATATATATATATATATATATATATATATATATATATATATATATATATATATATATATATATATATATAATGTACTTTTGTTGCTATTTTTGCCATAAAATATGTCTAGCACTATTACGGTTGGAAAATACCTTTCATTGTTGGCAATGTTTTGCTCTCTTTTATTTGAGACATTTTTTTCATTCCAGAATAATGAAAAATTGGCTGAAATCTGGGTCTTTTAAAAGGACATACAGTGAAGTCACTGAAGCATCTGAATCAACTGCTTCAGTGACAACTAGCAGAGATGGAGAAGATGCAAATGTCCAGGAGATCCGTTCGAGTCCAGCTCATCCAAGTAGTTCTCTCTCAATTCGCGGAAAGGAGGCTTCTTACCAAAAAGAAATTCGAGAAAAAATAAGAAGGTATGATCATAGCTATCTCATGTTATATGGCTTTATCCAAGTTGGCAACGAACAGGCATCAGAAGGCCAATGCGTTAATTGTCTCAAGATTGTTGCTAATGGGTGGTTGGTTCCATCTAAATTAAAAAGGCATTTGAAAAGTAATCATCCTGGTTTAGCCGATAAGGCCGAAGAAACCTGCAAACGTCGTGCTTCATCTCTTCAGGCAGGGTCATGCATGATGGAAAAGGTTTGCAAAAATGAAAACGAAAGCCACTGAAGCATCATTTATTGTTGGTTTGCACATTGCAAAAGCTGGAAAACCCCGTACGATTGCCGAGGAACTGATTAAACCTTAAACCTTGATACCCTGAAGGATTTCGTACAATGCATTTTAGATCCAGATATGACCAAGAAAATTGATAATGTGCAGATGTCAAACAGCATTATAAGCCAGAGACTTCAGACTTTGTAGAGAGCGAGCTTATAAATATATTACAAACTTGATGAATTCTTCAGTTTACAGCTTGATGAAAGTACCGACTTTGCTGAACTTGCTGTTCTGCTTATGTTTGTGAGGTTTCCATTCGGGATGAAAATAGAAGAACTCCTTATGTGTGAAGAGCTTAAAAGTTATGCCACTGGTGAAGAAATTTTCAAGGCTATCCACAATAAAGATAGTGGCAGAAAATGCCTCCAGCAGTCATTTTATCTTACATCGCCATTCTTTGGCAACTAAAAAGATGCCGCAAGATTTGAAAGACGTATTGGATGGTTCTGTGAAAATAATTAACCATGTGAAGAGCCGTCTGCTTAAATCTTTTGCTCCACACAGAGGTGGCCATCGAGGGGAACAATTTTAGGGAGACTATTTGAACTAAAAGATTCACTGATTATCACATTTACAGATGAGTCTTTTATCCAAGAATTAAACAATGTCAATTGGCTGCTAAAATTGGGATACCTTTCAGACATCTTCAAAATAATAAATAAAACCACCACTTTCGCTTCAAGGCAAAGGAGGAGCACAATTAGATACAATCAAAGCCTTGTGTAAAAAAGTTACATTTTCAAAGCATGTGTTGAAAAGAGGAACCTCACAAATTTCTTTCGATTACAGGAATTTGTTATAACAAATGAAATCAATCCTCAAACGAACTTCTTTCAAATTGTTATTGCTCATTTGCAAGGTTTGGAAAAAAGTATTGTAAAAGTAACTATTTTCCTGACATTGACTCAGATCACTTATATAACTGGATGATGGACCCATTTTCGTGCGACCCAAAAAATAAACCTGTCGCAATGACAAATGAAGTTTTTCAAAATCTACTTGAGATCAGCGAAGATAACAGTTTAAAACTCAAATACCGTGAAGGAAGCGAAGAAGAGTTCTGGATGCAGGTATATTCAAAAAATAATGTTGTTAGCAAGGTTGCAGTGAAAAACTTGTTTGTTTCACATCGATTTATCTCTGTAAGTCTTCTTTCTCAGCATATGCTTACATTACAAACAAATACAGAAGAAAACTTAAAGCATAAGGAATTTGAAGGTCAAACTTAAAAAGATTTCCATAATTATAAAGGATATAATAAAAACATCATCGAAACAGTTGCATTCATCACATTAAGTAAGGATATTTGAATATCAAATGTACTTACTATATTTTAGTGATCTGAAATAAAGTTTATATTGAAATCAAATGAGCCTCAGAATTGTATTTTTTTCATTTTTTGTCGTTTCCTAACTCGCTTTAAGGATTGGTGTGCCTCGAAATATTTTTAGCCCTCCAAGGGTGCCGCAACTAAAAAGGTTTGAGAACCACTGAATTAGGGTAAAGGCATTCTCAATTTACATTCCGCAAGTACCGTCAAATTAAATTAAACATTTCTCATTTGGAGCATTTAAAGATGTATAAAGAAAGTAATGATGGAATGTATGATACAAAAACACTTGGATAAGCCCAAATCAAATCTTTATTTGACTACATATCAAACACAACTGTTTATTGTTTTACCTATAACCTAACTGAAATATAATGCGATAATTAGCAATACATGAGCGTCGTGAGTGGGGTTTACATGGCCAATACATTACAAAATAGATCTATGAAAAGTGTAGATAGAAATTTAATAGAAATATCTCAAGACATAATTTGACTCTTGAAGTACAGTATGTAGTTGGATATGTCAGTTATGATGTTTCAATAAAATTATCATGTACAAATTGCATAAATGTAATTGTTAAAAATGAGGGTAAAGATACAGAAGAATAACGATATTTTGAAATAGGGTGGTTTAACTGTTACATTAAATGTTTACTGTGCAAATTACTACCACAGTTCATAATACATTGTAAACACCAATTTCTAACGACTTTGAAAACAATTTTTAAAATGTAAATACCATCAGTTAATATTAATTAAAATCGCCAAATAATATTTAAATCAGAATTTGTAGATCTGACAGCAGCCTATGACACAGTAAGGCACAAAACATTGCTCCGCAAATTATACGATACTCTCAATGACCACCATCTGGGAAAGTCCTTACTGCAAAATAGACGTTTTTTCGTTATGCTGGAGGGTAAAGTAAGTAGGTGGAGAGTTAAAAAAAAAAACGGCCTCCCACAGGGAAGTGTTTTAGCACCAATGCTCTTCAATATATACACAAACGACCAACCTACTCCGACCGAAACCAAGCACTTCCTCTATGCTGACGATCTTGCAATATGTGCTCAAGGAAATAGTTTTGAAGAAGTGGAGGAGAAACTCGAAACTGCCTTAAAAACAATGACAGCGTACTACCTGCAGAATTCTCTGAGACCCAATCCCTCTAAAACCCAAGTCTGCGCTTTCCACCTTCGCACAAAGGAAGCCAAGCGAAAACTCCAAATTGTGTGGAATGGTAATACATTAGAACACACAAACCAACCTATATATCTTGGAGTAACTCTGGACCGGTCCCTCACCTACAGACAACATTGCATAAAAACAAGAGGGAAAGTAACAACTAGGAACAGCATACTCAGAAAGCTAACGGGTAGTAAATGGGGCACACGTCCTGGCGTTTTAAGAACAACGGCACAGGCACTGTGTTTCTCAACTGCTGAATATGCATGCCCCGTTTGGAGCAGATCTGC